TTTGTATTTTTATTATGATTAAGTACTGATTTTTTTCATATATTCTGTTTTGGGGGTTTTGTTTTTTATTTAGGGGACAAAGTCTCACTGTAGATCAAACTGGCATTTTTAAATACCATGTGAGCTAGCAGTATGAATTCTTCTGGTTTTCTATTAGGCTCAGAGTCTTTCAGATTTCTAAGAGTACTTTATGTAGGAAAATTAAAGAAGGCTTTTTTTAAAGATATTCTAAATGAGTGATTTTGAACCCACTAATACAAATTACATGGTTGACTTTAGACAAAGTGGGTCTAAGTTAGGGAAGGAACATTGAATTGATTGCATACTTTTTATGTATATGCCTTGAATTTATTTTCTTGCCAAGTGAACATGTCTTATTTTTTTAATATAAGATTTTACATAAACACACATGATTATAGAGAGAGGATTCATGAACTCATCAACAGTATCTCCCATGGATAATCTTCTGTGACTACTTAACAATATCTAAACTAGGACTCTGACATGGGTGCATAAAATCCACATTTGTCCTTGCCTCCTTTTAGACATTTGTTTTACTGGCCAGGAATTTGACCTAAAATTAGCTGATGAATGTTCCAGAAAAGTTCAAGGAATTGGTGAACAAGATTTTCATAGAAAATGATAACTGTGAATATCAATCTTTGCATAAATAGTCACCTCAGTTTTTAATAGTTTGCTATGTGTAGTTTTTACACCTTTATTAACTCTAGTTACTTGAAAAAATAGTAACTCCTAAATCTTGTAATAACTAATAGCTTTGTGCCTGCTTGCTCAAGATGAATAATAGCTATAAAAATCACTTAATGTGATGCAGGCATGGAGCACATGCTTAGAATCCCAATATTTAATAAGACTGGGGGAAGAGAGAAGCATAAGTTTGAAGTCAGACTTTCTCTAACTCCCTACCCCATTACTTATTTTAGGTTACTACTAATGAAAATTCTCCATTGAGCATTTTTCTGGGAGTTCTTCTAATCATTAAATTAAGCATAGTGTTTGCTTTATTAGAATTTATGGTCAGTTACCAGAATATATAAAATTTTGAATGCTTAGTTTAATTTACACCCCACTCTGCGTGCGTGTGTTCCTAGGGATAGAACCAAGGACTTCACATAGGCTGGGCAAGCACTGTTCTTAGCCATAATACTTTCTTCTTAACCCAGAAATTTAGATTTACATTTGCCTGGAGATTAGTTCTGTATTAATTTTATTTCTTTGGACACCTTTCAGGGAAGAATTAACTGTTAAACTGTATTTTAGGCTCCTGTGAGCTGGAAAAATAGTCTTCTCCTGGAAGAGCACAGCAGTGATTATCCATCACCAAATAGCCTTGAAAACATAACATCCAAGTACAAACATATGAACTGAGCAAGTTGTATTGTGTTTGTGTGTGTGTATGGATGTGTGTAACAGCAATTAATTTTTAAAAGACCATGATTAAGCTGGGCATGGTTGTTCATACCTTTAACCTCTGCACTCAGGAGGCAGAGGCAGGCAAATCTTGAGTTGAGACCAACCTGATCTACAGAGTAAATTCCAGGACAGCCAGAGCTACACAGAGAAACTCTGTCTTGAAAAACAACAACAACAAAAATAAATAAGAGACCATGAATTTGAAAGTGAGCAACGAGGGGTGGAGGAGAAAGGAGGCGAAGGAAGGAAGGAAGGAAGGAAATTATTTTTTTGGAGTGGTAGATTTTCTAAGTATATTTAATCTTCAGTCTTGATGAATTGTAGGTTAATTAAATTTACTCTTTCAGCAATCAGCAACATACAATTGTATTTTCTGTCTTAAAAAGTAATTATGCATTTATCTCTCCTATTAATATATGGTAGGAATAAAGTTGGTATAAAGTCGATGACTTACTGTAAGCAACATATGACTTCTGAGTGGTATAGGACTTAGCTCCTAACAAAGGTAGCTTACTCTTTCTCATGATCGATAAAGAGTCACTTTTACCTGATTTGCAGAAGAAAGCTTGGGCACAAAGAATCAGAATGGCCAACTCAAAGTAATTAACTCTAATTACAGAAGATTTGATTCTGTAATTTCAGGAATTCCTTTACTGTATTTGTCACTGTGAATGTGAATCCACAGAAAATTAGAAGGATCTTTGAGTAAAAGCAAGGTAACTTTTCTATTTATAGACACATAGAATTTTAATGTTAGCTCTGACAAACCAGCGCACATTTTAGTCCTAGCAAATAGGCAAACTGTGTTGGCTGTCCAAAGATCACTGAGCAAATGCCCTTTCTAAGAAGTTGCCTCCCTTATTCTGAGAGCAGAACTACTTCTGGGAATATGCTAGATAAGATAAGTAACATGTTACAAACACTGTTTAATCTTTGGATCCATGTTCACAGTTTCACAGCTGACATGTGGTGCTTATTTAAGGCACTCTTTAACATATACAGCTCAGGACTTATTTAGGGCACTGTAGATAGGTGCTTTCTTTCACAGCCTTTCTCCTAAGAAAAAACGTTGTGTATTTTGACATTATGTCTAGGTTTGAATACCATCATAAGTTTGGCCTTAGTTTCCTCATTTATAGAATGAGAGTGTTGTCCAGGACTATTGATAATTACAGGCCTGCTATAAAATAGTCACAAACTATTCTTTCCTCTGCTTTATCATTTTGTTCACTGCACGTACATAGAAAAAAGACCAGAGACTGAATAGTAGAACTATGTCCACTTGGAGAAACACGTTTGCACTGCTCTTTTGTTGTTTCTGTTCTTATTTTAGACAGGTAACTAACTATTCTGCTTTATTGTAGATAAGGCAAAAGGTACTTCTCATGGCACTTGAGAAAGTGAAATCAAGTTAGATGACCTTGTCTCCACTGATCTCACTGTAAAGTTCAGGTTCTCTCTGCCCTCTTACTTTTTCAGTGAAGCTACAAGTTCTTGGTCATGGCCACTTGCTAAAGAATAAGGACAGCTGGGGTGAATTAGAATGACATGAAAAGCCCCACTACCTGTTGTAGCATGGTTACTTTTAAGTGACTCCTGCTTTTTCTATGACTGCAACTATAATTAGCTTTATTGGAACACTAAATCCAGGGTTAAGCATGTAGCTTGGTAAGTTTTACATTTCCACAGTCTTTTATTTTTGTTCATTGCCTCTGTCTAGAACTTTCAACTTTTTGATAAACACTAATCAAGATTTTTTTCCCCTTAAAAGACTTTGTCTGTAATTGAAAATTATCCTTTGGCTTTATCTTGCACTTCAAGTTTATAATAATAACTTAAGGAGATTCTGAGCTCTTCATTTTCTGACAATAATTATGGCACTTGCTTTAAACAGACATCAGTTTGAGTGTGTGTGTATACATGCACCACCCCCTAATCTAAAACACATGGCTTATTCTTACATTGCATTTATTCAGACACTACATTTAAGGATGCCTAATTGTATAATGGATAGATAAACTATATAAACAGATTGCAAAAAAAAAAAGACAGCTCCTCAAAATTTGAAACTGATTAAAAACATCAAAATATGATATGGTGGATGTTGTAATAAAAAATAAATCAAATTATAAACCAACACTAGATGAAGAAAAGTTGAAGGGAGAAATAGTCTGTTTCATGGATCGGTCATAATTTTAAGGAAGGTGAATCTCTGGGCTGAACACCAGAAAACATTACCTTCTTTGGAGCTGTTCTTAAGGCAACATTGTATTAGAGTCTTCATTAAACCTGAGTTTCTATCAGAGTCACCTGGAGAAATTAAGCTACATTAACTGTTCTCATTCCAGGAGTATATAATTCAGTAGTTCTAGGGCAGATCCAGATATATCCATTTCTAGCAAGTTTCCAGGTAGTGACGCTACATCTGGTTAAAAGAAACTTCACTTTCAAAACCAGTTTATCTGAATTCAAAGAATTTTAATGGCTTCCTAATACAAACCATTGGTTGTTTGAAATCAAATTACTGTCATCTCTGACTACTGTCAGAGTGCGTTTGAGCTCTTATGTGTCAGAAGTGTTTACTTCTTTAGATAATGGAACTTCCCTCAATAGGCTTAATCTAATAGAATCAACCATAGTAGTATTAGATAGTAAAAAAAAAAAAAATCACTACCTTGCATTGATTATTCAGTGTGCCAGGAATTATGCGAGATAGTATTTAAACTTGTTTAATCCTCAGAGGATTAAGACACAAAATGCTTGATTGAGGTGGGAAAAAGTAAATAAATAAGGTCTATAAACTAATTTCCCAGGATTCACAGTGAATATATTGAAGAGCTTAAATTTGCTATAGTGCTGTAATAGTTTCTACACCATTTAAAATTAAAAGTATGTGTATTGCAGGACCAGAGTGGCGATAGAATAATTGACTTTACTCTAGGACAGCAAAAGATAACCGCAAAAGAGATGGCCCTAAGTGCCTTAAAGGACAAGTGAAAGCCACATGAATTGAAACTACAGATATCTCCACCTGGGGGAGCAGTTTCTGCAAAGCCAAGGGAACCTGGAAAAACATGTAACAGATTACAAATATTACATAAGGCCAAAATACATTTTTAAAAAAGGATGAGAAACCATCTTTGACAGAGGTCAAAGTCATGAAGAATAACAACCCTGGGGAGCCAGAGGCCAGCCCTGGTGGTCTACATAGCTTCAGGCCAACCAGAGTTAGTTACTTTTTGATAACCCTGTATTTAAAAAAAATAGAATTAGGGTTTTGATCGGGGTTTTGTTTGTTTTTGTTTATTCTTTCTCCTGTAATTTTCATTCACTGTAAGCCAGTGGTTCTCAAAACAGGGTCAGGCAGCAAAATCAGTGTTTTCTGGGCACTAGTCCCATTTAGAGCCCAGCAATCTGTTGGTACTAGACCTCCAGATGATGAGTGCAAGCTAGTTTGAGAATACTGTAATTGGTATTGAATTGTTGAATATTATTAAGATAGTAGTAATTGTGTCTATGACTGATCTAATTCTGTTAGAGTACTGTGCACAACAGAAATGTTATACCTTATGGAATACTGTTCTTCAGCATGATCCTTCTGTGCCTTGTAAATCTATATCTTCTGTTGCTGCAAAGAGATCAGTGTCAGCAAAAGTGTTAGATCAGCATTCAAAGTGTAGCATGCTCATTAGTCGTTAGCTGTAGTAATGACTTGGAAACTTAACTCATAATTTTTAAACTGTGGAAGGTATTATAGTTGATACTAACAGCCCATACCATTCAAAGTAAAGTAGTTTTTAGCTACTGTAAATACCAAATTCTTCTCAGGTATGGTATACTCTATAAATAGTACTTAGTAACATTGTATTCAAAAATTATTTTTTAAGACTATTTTTGTGTTGATTCAAGAAGTACCAGATTTTCTTTTACAAGACTAGTTTAAAACAAAAGCTTTCTGCCTTTCAAAAAAATTATTAAAATACCAACAAGAGTATATAGATTCTTGCTACTTTTACTACCTAAAAGATGGATGAATATAAACTATAGAGAAAATTAATCTTCTGTAATATTAAATAAATGCCCAGGTAGTATTTGAACTTGTGATGTGTACTTAATAGCTAGACAACTTTGAATAATTTTCGAGAAAAAAAAAAAACATGCTTTCTTGGGTGAATTTTGCCAGCAAGTAACCTATAATCAGAGTACATGCATAGGTCTACCAGAATATTGAGTTTCATTAACCTGCTCTTCCAAAATCCTGAATTCTTTTTAGAAGCCCTTCCTACACATTTAAAAACCAGATGCTAAAATAGAAAATTGGTAGAAAGCAAGTCATCACCTGAATTTTAATGTATTAAGACCACCAAAGGCAAAACTCCTAATTAAAATTGGTAACTTTAAAGTGGCATATATGTGTCATAGACAAATGATAAATATTGGAACTGTAAGGGTTTTTACAAGTCAGCCATGTACCAAATCCTCGTGTGAAACAGTTAAACCTCTGAATGCTAAATTGCAAAAATATCCTTGATAGTTACTCTTAAATTGTCACACTTGATAATCGGGTAAAACACAAATGTCTTTTACATTATTTTAAGATTTGGAAGGATGGTTAAATTTTTAAGGATAATTTAATGAAATATTCTAATTTTTTCCAGTGCATCTGGGGGCGGTGTTGTAGCCATTGACAACAAAATAGAACAAGCGATGGTAAGTGGGTTCACAGTTGTCCTTCTGCTTCCCTGTTGGTCAGACAGACTGTCTGTGTCTTCTCAGGTCCACATTCCAGAAGCATCACTTCCTTAAGATTTAGAGACGTTAGAACCCTGAAGATTTCTAGTCCACGTGTGCTAATCGAGTGTACGGTCCTTCCGGTTGACCACATCATGCTTTGTGTGTCACCACTGGAACAGGAGCACACGTGGTTCAGTATGTGCTCATCAGAAAAGCATCAGCCTTTTCTGGTCTACTAGAGTGGGGGCTGTGGGACTTCTGTCTCTAAAGTAGCCCTGTGACTACTTCCTTAACAAGCAACTTGGGACTGGAGTATGATCCTCTGCTGTCTGTCCAGCATCTTAAAATGCTCATTCTAAGCTTTGAGAGGAAAGAGCATTGGCAATTGCCATACTAGTTGGGAAAGATAGTTTTCCCACCCCAACTCCCACAGGCCCAGTCAAGATACAGTAGAAACATTAAAAGCATGAGGAGAAAATTGCCTTTAAAAAACAAAAATATAAAAACCATTTAGTGTTTATAAGGCACCCAGACAGTCTAGAACTAAGTAACTCCTTGTTTCTCATAACCCTTGTGACTTTGCTAATTTTGTTTTTCACAGGATCTGGTGAAAAGCCATCTGATGTATGCGGTGAGAGAAGAAGTGGAGGTTCTAAAGGAGCAAATAAAAGAATTAGTGGAAAGGAACTCTTTACTTGAACGAGAAAATGCACTGTTAAAATCTCTTTCAAACAATGATCAGTTGTCCCAACTCCCAGCCCAACAGGCCAATCCTGGTAGCACTTCTCAACAACAAGCAATGATAGCACAGCCTCCTCAGCCAACGCAACCTCCACAGCAGCCGAATGTCTCCTCAGCATAAAGCTTTCTTAAGCCTCATTAAGGAAAAGCCGAAAGCAATCTTTCCTTGTGTGCCACTGGTGTTCTATCCACTTTGTAGAAAGCAAGTAGCCATGCTTCGGCTGTGCGCTTGGCCTTTTCAGTATTAGACAATCGTTGTGCGGGGGCTTTCCCTCTCTAGGATGCCACGCAGCACTGTTGGTGTCCACGTCTGTGTCATCCGTGCGTGAGGAGAGTACTAGACGGGTTATTGGAGCGAGCAGAGTCTACATCCTACATGTGCGCATGAGTGGGGTCTTTAAAAGCTTTGGTGGCTCTCCCAGGTTCCTTGTCACCCATGGGTTTGCCTTGAACCTTGCTGTCACATTATAAATAACAGTTCATCTAAAGAGCCACTTTTCTTTCAATATCAGTAACATTTGCCTACGTAAGGTTTCATTTATTTTGTGTTTTATTTATTACAGGGCTGCTATTTTCATAATGTACATGAACAATGTCACAGAATTTTTTTAATTTTTGTGAATAATTCTAAGTATCAGTAAAGGAATTGAAAGACAGGATTACATTTAATAAATAAAACGTTTAGGCAATAATTGAACAAAAGAATCCTGGCACATTTCTAACACTAATGGCAATTTACCGTTGGTATTTATTTTCAATAGTAAAGATCCAGCTTGAATGTAAATTTTGTATAGTGTAAGTATGAAAAACACAGTGCACCTGTACAGGTAGTCACCAGTTATTGTGATATAATTAAATAATTGGGCTATTTTCATGAAGAAAACTTTGTTCATTTGTTTCTACTTTCTAATAGAAATTGCCACGATTCCTCTGCTTTTCAACATTTCGTATGACTTTTTTTTTTTTTTTTTTTTTTTTGGGTGGGAATAAAAAAAAGCTGTGAAATTGTTCAACCTACTTTGTAACCAAAGAAGCAAAGCTGTGTAATGGAGTTTTGTTTTGTTTTATAATGCACATTCTTTATGTATTTTTATTTAGTGTTTTCTTGGTCACAATTTTCTTTGCTGTCTAGCATGATCTGCATGGCCTGTAATCTTTGAACCACTTTGGTACCTCATGTTTTTATCCAGCACTCTTATTGTACTGTGTACTAGTCTGTGAACAATGTCAAATAAAAAGAGCGGACAGGTCGTATGGTGGAGCTGAGCTAGTGTACAATGCACCAGTTGTACAAAAACAAAAATGAAGTGAGCCATCTTTTGTTCATTTAAAATGGTGTTTTGAATTTCATATGCAGAAAACGTTTTGTTACATTGCAAATTTTAATGTATTTAATAAACGCAACATGCAGATTAAGTGCAGTGTATACTGAGTATTTAAATTAAAATGTACATTTCATAAGTACAGTTTCAAGAGAAAGCATCATTTTGTGTATACTAACACATAAGTGTATGTCAGAAATTGATGTAAAAATATATATTTTAACACATTTTCTGAAATTAAACTACAGTTTTGTTCAAATATTTGGCTCTATATGTGTTCAGAATTTGAATAGATTTGTATTTTCACGGTTTAAAAATAATTCCTTAAATGAAAACTCATGATGTTATTAATGACAATGGTAGTTCTTAAATTTTCAAAGTAAAATAATTTAAAGAACACAAGAATGGTGAGCAATATTTGTATTCAATATTCATATTATGTTAACAATATAAATAGGAAATCCTCGTCTACCAAAACTTTTACTTGAATTCAGAAAGGTGCCTGTAGAAATGAACATGTCCTGTATTGGTAGCCCACTAGCTCATTCAGTCTTAATGAGAAACAGTGGTTAGCTCTCCATCTTAGAAGAGGTTAAATGTTCTTTGTCTGTTTTAATCATTCTAGCCTCAAACAAAAGTCAAAATTGAAACACACATGAGATTACCAAATATTTTATATTCTAGTTGTGCTATGGGAAATAATGCTCAGCAAAATTTTTATGTTAATTAGTAACATTAGAAATACAAGAACTAGATAAGTATGTAGACCTGAGTATGTTATAATCCTAAGGATGCAGAGTGAGATTCTAGCAGAGCCACTGTGGGCATGATGGGGTGGGAAACTGCTGTGGTGTGTGAACACGAAGATTCCTTTGGTGCCTTCCAGTGCTGATAGTATGGTACGTCATGCAAAGAGAAACTAACGTAAAAAGGGTTGCAGGAGGAGACAATTTAATGGCAGACTGCTGCCCAAGAATGCACAAGATCTTCTATTTGATGTCTGGCACTGTGATTTTTGTGAAGATAAATGAGTTTTTATTCTAGGAATAGGAAAACATAAGCAAAATGCAGTAGCAGTCACCAAGGAAATAATTAATATTTTATGGTTTATAATGGTAACAACAATTGCCACCACTCCTTTAAGAGAGGAGGAAAGTCTTAGTAAAAGATTAACAGAAAAACTTGTTCCAAAAAGATTAACCCTCTAGTGAACTGAGAAACTAAATTATTTCAATCAGTTATTACAGCTTTTAAACAGCAGGAGTTAATATAGTAAGTAAGGTGGACTTTCCTGTGTTCTCCAGGATGAAATTTGACAGTGTATGTCAAGAGCTTTAGATATAGTAAACTAGCTCAGTGGAGTGATGCTTAAGGTGCAGTGTTCAAAAAATGCAAGTGTATGCCTGTCCTGTGTGTCCACTCCTTCCCTTGGACCTCAAAAAGTTTATTGACCACTTACCCTGTACCTATTTAAAGTTGTCCAATGAAGTTTCCATCTAAATCTGTTGCCATCTCATTGAGGGCCATTGAACTTCAGAGTCAGGAGCAAAGCTGAGCAAGGTATTGTACTTTTGTTTGAAAGTAATTGAGTTTGAGTCGTTTCTCCCTAATTGGTTTGTTTAGGATCTTCATTTAAGTTCGATCTCCGTTGGGTTTAGAGTCTCCATATATGTAGAATATCAACTAGTTGAAATTCCATTTTGGGGCAAGTCTTAGAGGAATGTAATCCACCTTTAATTTTCTCAGTCTCAGCCTATAGACCAGCTGCTGCTACATAAGCTTGATGTTGGTTTAATTTTTTTGATACGGTAATGCGTGTATAGTTGGAACCTTACTTTGCCCAAAGGAAATTATTTTTAGGTAGTCCTGATGTAATCTTAAAATGCATCCAACAAAACAAAAATGTGCGGGGAGTTGGAGAATTTAGCATTCAGCTTTTTTTTTTTTTTAACTGTTAGATGAAGCTGTTTGGCCCTGGTGACAGGTCCTTTATGATGGATATGTTTAAATTCTCTTCGTGATTCTCTTGAAAGGGGAAAGCCCTGTCTTCAGAATTTACAATTGAATTGAGGCTACAGAAACTAACCAATACAATGAGACAAGAAATACAGTCAAGGGGGGATTGCTCAGGGGTTTCCTGAAAGGTAGCCTCTGAGCCTTGAGGGTCACAAGAAGGGCATTCCAAACACAAGAAAAGCCTGCTCAAAGCTCTGAAAACAAACAGCGGTCTTAGCACAGAATTTTATGCCCCATCAATATTTGGCACTATTAACAGTGAGTCGTTGGATGATGACTAGTGGAATGTACTCATTTCAATTCAATGGTAGAGTGGAAACTGGGGACAGATAATTGAGTAAAAATAATCCAGTTAAGTGAGGCAGCATGGGCAAATTGTCTGAAGTTTATTGAAAAAAAGCTGAGAATTCTCCACCCCTTTTGAATATCCCACCCCCAATGTCAGCACTTGGCTTTGTTCTCTTGTTTCCTTGAGGAAACAACACATTAGCCAATACTTGAAAGTTTGGTCAGTCTTGTGTCCAGTAGCCATGCATCTGCAAAATTAATGCCTTTGTTTCCAGTTGAAGGAATTGTAAGAATTTGACAGAAGAGTAAGGCAAACAGGAAATTTGGTCACTCTGCCTCTGTAAATGCAGCCCAATGTTAATAAATCCTCTGGTAACCAGGTCACCATAATTCCACAGCCTCTTGCTCCCTGGAAAGAGTATGAATTCTGACTCCAGTGCAGATACTAACATATAAGGATAGGTTTTCCAATAGCCTTATTGTCCATACTCTGTTGATGCAATAACAGACTTTCCCTGCCCTCCCCAGCTTTAAGCCCTCTAATAATTCATGTTTCTACTTTCTAATGCTAATCACTTCTGGTGTTTATTAGCACCAGTTGACAAGCTGACATTCCAAGGTACATCCCTGTCTCCTACTTCCATAGCAGATCATGAATTTCTCCATCTAAATCTTTTTCAATGCCCATCTTCCCTACATAAGTGAAGAGTTATACAAGTGTGCCCTTAGTGGGCTACATTGGTCTGCCATGTTCAAATGTAGAAATTGCTAAAAAAACAAAACAAAACAAAACAAAAACTATAGAAAGCAATGTAAAATTCACAGACCTGCACTTTTCTTTCTTCTGTGTTTTAATGAATTTTTCAAAAAATCGGCAGTCCTTTAGGATTGGTGATTAGCGATGGCAAGACAAGCTGTTATTTCACGCTGGCACAGTCCACTTGGGACACTGAACTTGTTCAGCATGATTAGATAGCGAGTTAGCTTAGTTTTCCTTTTCTTACCAGGGGAACTGATAAAGTAGGCAGTTTGGAATATTTTCTGACTGCCTAGTGTCATGGATCCAGAGTCCCTGTGTTTACAGGCTAGGACCCGCCCACAGAAGCCATAATGTTCCTCTAGAAGAAGGAAGGAAAGGAGACATGCTAATATAGAAAAATGATTGAAGCTTAAGACAAGCCCAGTGACACACTTCAGTTTCTCCATAATGAAAGTTGAGGGCACTTGAAGCTCCAACTGTTTGCATGCTTTCATTATTTCCATAAAATAACTGCAAAGTGCTCTTGCCCGCTGCAGTCCGAACGGTCTTCCAGATCACAGTTTCTACTGTCATATCAGAAGCAATCAGCTCGTCTGTAGATACATAACCCTGAAGAAGACAGCAGACAAGGAGGCTTCTCCCACACATGGCATCTGTGGCACTAGGCCATTGTCTAGTTCACTGAGAAATACCATTTGCAAATCTCTTGTCTTACACAGACAAACATGCATGCTGAAGTTTGGGGAAATAATTTGGGCTTTATTTTTTTTTCTTAGAAATGTTGGAAAGCAATTCAATTCTATCTCAACTTAGGTGCTTATCTCTATACTGAATGTTTAAGAACAGAAAGCTGTTTAGGGCATGATCAGTGCCTCAAGAGCTTATCGTCCAATGAGAAAGTAGAGGCTGAGGTACCACGTTGCTTATCCAGAACAGTTTATAAACCTTGTGGCCTTTGTTAGATGGAAGGTTCTGTAAATCAGTAGTAATTTTCTGTGTCATGTGAAACACTTTGCCATTGCCAGGAAATAACTAAATCACCAAAAAGCTTTAGCAAAACTAATCCTGGAAGAGGAGACCAGGCAAAAGAAGACTTTCCACACTATTCTGAGCCTGGGAGTTGCCCCTAAAAAGGAACTAATCTGAGAGAGATGTTTACACATTTTTAATACTCTCGGTTTGTAGATAATGGATCTAATTTAATCTAACAACTAGAATTTACATGTCATGAATTATATTGTCTCTTGTCTGATAAGTAACATGCATTTTGGCTGTCTTAACCAGCTGTCATTCAACAAATGAAGTTAATAACTCAGGTACCTGATGCCAAAAATAAATCTCTAATGGAACTGAGAATTCAGAGATAAATACAAGGCTGTATGTTAAGTAAGTGGTAAGCCTTACATTTCTGATGAGGGAGTGGGAGAGAGAATGGCTTAGTCAACAGGTAGTATTGAGACTGTAACCTTAGGGGGCTAAGTTTCCCTAAAGTTAGCTCTCACAAAAATTAAAAATTCCAGCCACACTAGAAGTAAGTCTTCTGCTTTGGAAATTCAAAGCCTTGATAATACGTGAAAGTGAATAGTTTCACAAATAAGTTATGGAGAACTGCTCAGCCTTGGCAAAGCAAAGCGCACATGGAACGCGCCATCTCAGATCCAGCTGGGGGGCGTGAAACACGTGAGGACCAACTGACGAGTGTGAGAAAGCAGGGATCTGCCAGCTGGATAACTGAAGTTTCAGATGCCCTGTGACCCCAGGGCTCCAAGTTTTAACATCCACCCTAGAACACACACACATGTTCACAAGGCAGCTCGTAAGAGTATACAATTGGAAAAACCAAAATCCACCAAGATGATGGAATATGCTCGATGCTACATCATATTAGGTATCAGTGAAAAAGAGTGACGAAACAGGAATGTGTGCTGACAGTAGATCTCTAGGATGCAATGTTAACTTTGTTAAAAGTCTGGGGGGAAAATACATGTAATACACATGATACTGTTGGTGTTTAAAAAAAAAACATGCCATACACAATACTGTATAGTGTACTTCTGCAAATACCTTTCTGTGTACAATATAAATATAGAGAGAAGGTTTGGAAGAATACTAACCAAGCTGTTTACAGTAGTTTGGTGGTGTGCGTTAGCTTAAACTGTAATATTTGATGTTTTTGAATCTGCATTCATGTACCGTTTGTGTAATGACAAATTAATAAATTAGAAATAAAATGCAATAGAAAGTGTTTTCTTCTTCTCTTCTGCTAATGTCTTCCTCAATGTCCTGGGACTCAGCTTCAGCCTCCCTCCTTGACTACTGTCCCAGGAATGTTTTTCCACTACCCCCCACACACACACTCACACACACACACACATACACACACTCACACATACACACACACACAAACTCACACCCACATACACACACACACACTGCTGGCATATCACCCTCTCCTGTGAACTACTCCTGTAAGCAACATTCCTCCCTAACAAGGTCTGCTCTCCCCTCCTTGCCTTCCTGCTTCCCTGAGCCGTTGTGATGATGCTGTCCAGCTTTGGCTCCTCAGTACCACTGGAGCTGTTTCTTGTCAAGGCCACTGATGCACTCTTGATGCTAAGTCAACTATAGTGTTGCTACTGCAGTGCTGTGTCTAATTCCTGATTATCCGTTAATTGATACAGGATATCATTTTCTATTTCTTCACTTCTAATTTTCCTCACTTGTCATTAAGTCCTCTTTATTTTTAGGGGTGTCTCTTTTAAAGCATATAGCTGATTTTTTTAAAAATATTTTTTAATCCAGTCTGTCTTCTAACAAATGAATTTAATTCATTCCCATGTGTCATCATTGCTGGCTTGTCCGGAGCATTTTGTGTTTTCTCTCTAAAATACTCCCTGAGGCCTTCCTCACTCCCCCCTCCCTTGGCTTATTCAACTGATAGCTTTTATTAGTTGCTTATTTTATTAATTTATTGCTGGAAAGTTACACACTCCATGTCCATTCACCCAAGTGGTTATTGTACCATTTTCTCTGTCACTGAGTTGTGGGATCCCCAATCATGTGCAGAAGCAGTCTAGCAAATGCCCATGTACCCATCACCCAATTTAAACTACATCTGCTCGTGGCCAGTCTTACATGTACAGATGTTTGTCTGCTTCTTCTATGATCATCTGGATTATTTTGAAGAGAGCCTAAGATGTCCGCAGATTCACATTTACTTCAAGACTTTTTTTGTAACCATACCATTGGACCACCTCAAAATGAGCAATCCATTTGTCTCACAGGAAATCTAGTCAATGTGTGAATTTTCCTGTTTGTCACACACACACACACACACACACACACACACACATGTATTTTGTTTGAATCCAGATCAAAGGAGGGAGTGACTGCACATTTTAAGTGGCTGTCTTGCCTCTAAATCCCTTCATCTGGAGGGTCCATGTTTCTCCCCCACTCCCCCTGCTGCTGCTGAAAATTTTTAACAATCTGTATCATTTTCCTGTGACTATTCCTGAAGCTTGAGTTTCCCTGGTAGCATTTTTGTAGAGTCCTCTGTCCCCTGTATTTCTAAATCAGATCTTGGAGCTTAGACGGATTCAGAATTGATGCAAATGTGATGCTTGCTGTATGTTTTATGCCTGGTTGCCTGTACTCTGTGATACAGGCATCGCTGGTGGTTATTCCCTGTGCCCATGGGTTCTCTTAGACTGTGATACAGGCATCGCTGGTGGTTATTCCCTGTGCTCATGGGTTCTCTTATACTTTCTCTCACTAGTGGGACACTCCTCTAAAGAGACACGTGTCCTCATCGACTGGCCAGTAGAAAGGCAGGGGCTTTATTCCTTTTTACTTTTCAAAATGATAAATTGAGTTCCTACAAATGAATAAAAATAAATATGCAAAGAGCAGATCTCTTGCTCCGTGGGAGAATGAAGTGAGTTCGTTTGGGTGCCAAACCTCAGGTGCTTTGTAGGGAGAAGCAGGGAAGTAGCCAAAGAGAAGGAAACTTGGTGGCAGAAAACAGCTATGTACTGCTGAGTCAGGGACTGAGTAACTTCTGAGTCAGGAGTATTCTGAAACAGGAGGATTGCGGTGAGTTGAAGGCCAGCCCGTATTACAGAGTAGGATCCTATCTCAAAAAGGAAAAAAGTTATACCGAGGGTAGGGATGTGGAGGTTTGTGTGAGATGGTCTCTGGTATTACAGAGTAGGACCCTATCTCAAAAAGGAAAAAAAGTTATACCGAGGGTAGGGATGTGGGGTGGTTTGGGTGAGATGGTCTCTGGTATTACAGAGTAGGACCCTACTCAAAAAGGAAAAAAAGTTATACCGAGGGTAGTGATGTGGAGGTTTGGGTGAGATGGTCTCTGGCATGTAAGTACTTGGTCACCAGTTGATGGCATTATTTGGGGAGGCTTAGGAAATACGGCCTTGGGGGAGAAAGTGCGACAGTAAGGGCAGGCTTTGAGGCTTCTGGGGGGCCATTCCCCATTGGGATAGCTTTCTGCTTGCGGTTCTGAGATAGCTCCCTGCCTGCCCGCCGCCTGCTGCCACATTCCCCTGTAGTCATGGAGATGGGCTTTTATTCTCTGGAACTCTAATCCCAAAGTAAACCAGTTCTTCCTTCTGAGTTACTTGCCTTGCTCACGGAGTTTTGCCACAACAATAGAGAAGTAACTACGACATGATGGGCAGCAAGCTCACATCTGGGCACAACTGGCCGTGCTTTGAGAGAAACAGCAGTAGCTGGAAACAGAGCAGTAGAAGCTGTCCAGGACGCCGGGGAAGCAGCTACGCAGACAAGCTTGTAGGTGCTAACCTACCGTGTAGTGACTGCCCGTACTTCCCTATGAGCTCGTGAGCCGGAAAACTTACTGAGGAAGACAGCAGGGGGCGAATGACCTCCAGTGTATGCAAACTATTTCTCATCAAGCAGTTCTTGCTCAGCAACACTGGTTTTTCTTGACTTAGTTAAGCATGCCTCCACAAAGACCAACTTATGGTCCGTTTGGGCTTTCCCCAGACTCGAGGAAAGCACTCTCTAGATTGTACCAGAGCCTAGGTCTGTGTGAGCCTTCCTCTCATCCACTTTTCTTAGCTGGCATTGGCTCCCTTTTTCTCAACTCTTCCATCCCGCCCCTGATAGCCAACTGTCTGCCGCTGAACAATGGCTGAGAAATTTCGAAAAGGAAACCACTTTCAGAATTAAAAGGGGTGCCTTAAACAACTGGCCTGTCTTATTCTCCAGAGAGAGGAACGAGTGGCATTCCAATCCTGTGAGTCTTCGCTTTTTTTTTCACTAGTGACTTCACTTCCAGAACCTACCCCGTTCAGCATTCAGTGATGGCTCTGCTGCTGGCTCACTCACCCAGACACGAGGCTTCCCGGAGGCATTCGCTCCTCAGATAAACCACACCCTCAAACAAGCTTCTACCACTTGGTTCCTGACTGCCAGCCCAGGGTGGGGAGACCCGGGCACCGGCAACTTGGCATCATTGGCTGAGACTTACACATATTTAAAAAGAACAGCTTAGGGACTTTTGAGGTTAAATAAAAAGTCCCCCTTACCCCTTGATAGCCCCCCCCATGTGCATTGACCTGCACGGTCTGGGATCCTCCTTCCCTATTGACGACTGTTCACCCCGGCACTGAGTACTGGTGTTAATGAGTGAGCGGAAGACTCACACGAACCGTATACAATATTTTTTTCATTCTTAGATTTTTCTGATCATTAAGTATAGGAGTAATAACCGACTCATGGGCTTGCTGAAGAGCTTAAACAAGGTAAAATGTATAAATCACTTAACTGGGACATGGCCCCTCGTGCCCATTCGTGCTTTTCGTTTTAGCACTTTCTGGGTACCTGGTTAAAGCGGTTACTTCATGATCGTTTTCTTGGTCATCTTTTGACCAGAGGCTCTGGAGATAGACTGGGCCATTTGCAGCCCTTTCGACAAAGTCTTCCCCTCTTACCCCTTTAGAGCCTCACCACTACCCCAAGGCTTGGGACAGCGCTTACTTATTCATTTGACAAGTGTAGAGACATGTTTAGGGAATCCAGAGAGCGTGGCCCTGCTCACACATGACCAGTGGTGGAGCAGGGTTCTAAGGGACCTGATAATACCGTGATTCTCCCCACTGTGCTTTAATGGGTTCAGAATAGAAGGAAGGAAAGCATGTTATCTGAAACAAGCATGCTGAAGCTGTACCTGGCTTCTGCTCATGAACACCTGTCGATCTTGGGGTCTGTACTTAACAGCAGGCCATCCAGGACAGGCAGAATACAGATAACACATGACAGCACACCCTGCTCCCAAGCAGACTTCAATCAGTTCTCTGAAATCAGTGCTGATTGCGAATGTGTCAGGAATGTGGATTTTCAAGCCAAGTGTGGTAATTCACACCGATAACCTCAGCCCTGGGGGTGCTAAGGCAGGGCGTCAAGCTGAGGCCAGGCTGGTCTATCTAGTAAGTCTAGGCCAGCCTGGGCTATACAATGAGACCCTGTCTTGGAAAGATTTTTAAGATATTTATTTCTTAAAAAATAGGGCATACTCTTTTTTTTGTTGTTGTTGTTGTTTTTTCATGGTACTTTACTTGTGAAGACTCATAAGTAGACCAAATAACGTAGAACAGTATCTTGGACCCTACCAGTTAGTGATTTGAATTGGGATAAATTCTGAATTGGCAATTGCAAGACTCGTAACTGCTTCATACAAATAACAATTTACTCCTTTTTTCATAGCCAAAGCACCTGACTTTCAAGAAAGTATTAAGGGAATAATTTTACTTAATTTTTCTTCCTTTAAGAAATTGTGTGGGGTTTTATACTAGATCTAAGAAAAAAATTGGTTCATGTGGCTGAGCTAAAAGACAGCAAAATAGACTAGATATATTAATTAAATGGCTAAGAAATCTGAAACAGAAAGATGAAATATTTGGCTAAGACCAAGTCTGTGCAAAAAATAAATAAATAAAAGTATACTTGCTACTCAACAAAGGTCAAGGGACCCAAGGGACTGTAACATACAGATGCAAGTCCCATGCCTTTCATAAGGACATGTGAAGCCAGGCCTAGTGGTGTGGGTCTGCAACCCAACTACTGAAGAGGCTGCCCAGGAGAGCTTGGGCTACAGAGAGAGTTCAAAGCCAGCCCAGACATCTTAGCCAGACCCTATGTCAAGATTAAAAAGTAAAAAGAGGGCTTGGGATATACCTCAGTGGTACAGCCTACCATGAGTGAGGCCCTGGTTGTATCCCAAGTAACATACGCACACGCCCCCCCCCCACTCTCTCTCTCTGTCTCTCTCTCTCTCTGCTTAAGTTCCATGGTGGCATCTATAGTACTAGCGCACCAAACACCTCCACCCAGATGTCTCGCATAAAGAGCAAGAGGTCATCCCCTACTTCCTCTCTGCTCTGCAGAGATGTGTCTGCAGGGCAACCACCTTCTCCTGGGTCTCATTTTCCACTTCAGAGCTACTGCCAAGGAGTCTCCGGGCCACCGCTCCCCCAGACACCCCTTGCCCCCCCATCTGTAGGCTCCCCACCCCTGCAGGTGGTTCTATTCCATTCAGCCCCAGACTGGTGTTCCTCCTCCTCAGGTGCTTCTGTTTGTGAACCGCAGACTGCTCCTCAATGGCTGCTCCTTGGCCTAAAGCAGCTGCTGGACGGACACACACACACACACACACACACACTCTCTGAATGGTGACTGGTGGAGCCTGTGCCCATTCGTTATACTGTGTCTAATATGGGGAAGAGTGTTCCCCAGGGGTTTCTACATTCAGAAATTAGGAGGAATATAATAACTGTCAATTGTCTTCCTTTCTTATTTAGATGTGTTTAGCTAATCAGTTAATGCTATTTCCCTCATCACATCCATGAGAACCTTAGCAGAATGTTGACTGAAAGAGAAAGAGTGCACCTCATTGTCTTATTTAGTCCCTAGCCGTTAAGCATCTTGTTAGCTATGGGCTTCTACTAAGGAACCCTCTTATAGATAGACTTTCTCTGTGTCCCAGCGGTGGCTCCCAAATGGCCATATAATATTAATTATAAATGCCCAACTGATAGCTCAGGCTTATTACTACACAGCTCTTACAACTTAAATTAACCCATTTCTATTAACCTACATTCTGCTACATGGCATTACCTCTCTTTGACCCTGTACCTCCTGTTTCCTCTCCAAGTCCGGCTGACAACTCCTCTGACTCCATCCCCCTTCTTCCCAGCATTCTCTCTGGCCCCAAAGCCCTGCCTAGCCATTGTTCCATCAGCTTTTTATTAACAATGAGAGAGATACATATTTACAGTGTACAGAGATTGCTCCACAGCGCCCTCTACCACAGGGAGTAAGTAAATTCCTTTCCATTTCTGGTTAGGAGCTGTGGAACACCTACCTGGAAACTAAAGGAGGCAGGGGATAAATGTTGCCTCTGCTCTTAGAGGAGATACAACTCTACTGACACCATGACTTTGAGACAGGGTAATCTGCAGAAACTGACAGGTGTCCATTTTGCTTTATTTATTTGCTGAATTGTTAAGTAGATCCCAGCTTCCCAACGCAAACATGATTACTCCCTAGCCTCTTTCCTTCCCTCCATGTGTTGTTTTGTGTTTGTTTTGTGAGCTAAGGTCTTGCCATGTAGCCAGACTGACCCCGATTCCCTGCAACCATCCCGCCTCCTCTCCCAAGTGCTAGGGTTGCAGTCGGGGCCGCCACGCTCCACTTTATCTAAGCATTTCTCCTCCCACTCTGCCTAGAAGTATGGGTTACGTCTAGGGATTTCCTTAAATTCCAACTCCAGCTTTTTAGCCAGCAGATGCCAACAAGGTGCTTGAATCCTGGCTCTGCTTCACAGCAGCTGACACACAATATCGGATTGTCATTTAACCGTGTCTGATAAGACCTACCTTTCAAACAAAGGGCTTAACGCCTTCTTAGGTGAGATTTCTTTTTTATTTTATTTTATTTATTTTGTGTGGACATGGCATGGAGCTTGCTGTTGCCGCAGTGTGCTTGTGGAGGTCAGAGGTTCTGCCTAGGAAAAGGATTTGTTACTCACACGGTTAACCTGAGCTAGTGTTTTAAACCATCCGTGTGCTTGAGCCCCAGACGTTTTTATTCCTGGTGCGAGGTTGCACAGTAAGATCGGGACGGGGAGAGGGGAGAAAGGAAGGCTACATTCTGGTGCAGATGTGTGTCAGGGAGCCCCAAGGCTGTTTGTGTTAGAGGGTCCTTCCCTGGGTCCCTTTGTAAAGCCCCTGCATTTGAGTACCATAAATATAAAGTTAACTCTTAAAGTATATTCATGCACAGCATGAAAAACTAAAGGTGAGTCTATTTGTAGAAGACTTCTTGACTCCGGACAACAGAGCAGGAATGCTGACTCCAGGTAGTCACCTCTCCTGCTCCTAAAACGCAATCCCCCAGGCTCATCCCCAGCTCTCCAGCAGAACCCCTGCTTTGGTCTCCCTGTCCTCTCTGACCCCATAAACAACGAACCACGAAGATCTCCTCCAATCTTCCTTCCCCCAACTCATCCTCCAACAACTGCAGGCATTACCTGGGAACACTCCAGCTGAGCAGGCCAGAGAAACAGGTAATCTAGCCGAAGACCTTCACCTCTCCCTCCCCCCCTCCAAATCCAATCCCCAGTCATCCCTAGCTCTGCAGCAGAACACCTGCTGTAACCCTCCCTCCCCCGCTGTAACCCCACCCATCTTCACCTCCTGTGGATCCCACAGACCTTCTCCTCTTAACCTCCCCCTCCCCAGTCACTACTGGAACCCAGCCCCCAACCCCAGCAGGCACCCTCTGCTAGCCCCAGGCCCCTGCTGCCAGGGAAGCAGGCGGCTGACTTCGGATCTCCACTCTCTTCTGCTCCTCCAGATCCACTGGCATAGCTCATCCCCAGATGTTTAGCAGACCTTATGGGGTGACATCTCTGCACTCTCTGCCCTGACTCTGCAGACTCAATAAGCAGATCCTGATGGGACGCTCTCCTTCCCTCCCTCCTGTGAGTCCTGTCACAACCACAGACTAACCCCATTCCTAAGTGTCGGTTTCCAATGCCCAGAAACACAGAAACATGTTGTACGTGCAACTCCAAGAGGCCACACCTAATAGGTTCACAAAAGAATTTCCTACCAGGCAAGACACACCCAGCACACTCTCCTAAAATCCAGAAAGGAAACCAAAACCAAGGAACAGAACACCCGTCCAACAAAGACAAGACCAGATATTAACACCTAGGATTACGATCTTTCCTATCCAAGATGCCTAGACACAATCAAAACGTTCAGGACCACATGTCTCCACTAGAGCAACCCTACCAAAGAAGGCCCTGAATGTGCCAAAATAGTGGAAGCACAGGAAAAAAAACTTAAAGCCGGCTTTCTGATTACAACAGAGGTCCTTAAAGAAGAGTAAGAAAAAAATAAATAAAAATTCCATAAAGAAATCTATGAAAACACCCACAACCAGTGGAAGGAGATGAATAAAACTGTTCAAGATTTGAAAATGGAAATAGAATCAATAAAGAAAAACCAAACAATTCTGAGGATGAAAAATTTAGGAATTCAAACAGGAACTACAGAGGCAAACCTCACCAACAAAAATGCAAGAGATGGAAGAGAGAAAGCCAGACATTGAAGACACGATAGAAGACATGGCTCTATCAGTACAAGAAAATGTAACTAAAAAATCTCCTGGCACAGAAACATCCAGAAAATCTGGGAAACTGTGAAAAGAGCAAATGTAATAATAATAGTATTAGAGGAAGATAAACACATGTCAAAGGCACGTAATTTTTTTGTTTGTTTTTTGTTTTTCAAGACAGGGTTTCTCTGTGTATTTTTGGCTGTCCTGGAACTCACGCTGTAGACCAGGTTGGCCTTGAACTCACAGAGATCCACCTGCCTCTGCCTCCCCAGTGCTGGCATTAAAGGCGTGCGCCACCACTGCCTGGCCCAAAAATCAGCATGGTACTGCCATAAAAACAGACACACTGATCAATGGAATCACATTGAAGACCCAGACATAAGTCCTCACACCCTATGGACACCTGCTTTTTGATAAAGAAGCCAAAACTGGGGGAAAAAAAGACAGCATGTCAAAAAAAAAAAATGGTGCTGACCAAACTGGGTGTCTGCATGTAGGAGAATGCAAATAGACCCATACTTAGCCCAAAACTCAACCCCAGATGGATCAAGGACCTCAATAGGAAACAGATAATCTTGAACCTGACAGAAGAGAAAGTTGGGAGTGCACTCGAACTCACTGGCTCAGGAAAAGACTTTCTGAACACAAAGCTGTTAGCACAGGAATTAAGATCAACAATTAATAAATGGGGGGCTGGAGAGATGCCTCAGAGGTTAAGAGCACTGGCTGCTCTTCCAGAGGTCCTGAGTTCAATTCCCAGCAACCAGATGGTGGCTCACAACCATCTGTAACGAGATCTGGTGCAGACAGAACACTGTATACTTAATAATAAATAAAATTTTAAAAATTAATAAATGGAACTCATAAAACTGAGATGCTTCTACATGCCGGTTTGCAGCTGGCCTGGTCTACACAGCAAGTTCTATTCCAGCCAGGAATATGTAGTGAGACCCTGGAGGGAGAGAGGGTCAGGAAGGAAGAGGGAGGAGAGAGAAGATGGGGGGGTTAGTATTGAATTTCATTATGCAGTATGTGTAAGGCAAAGTATAGCTGCCCTCCCATGTGGCTCTGGGGCTACTTGTCGTTCGGTGCATTTTAAATTAGCAGTAGGACTTTCCATACTGCGTGCTTTTTTTCTGTTTCAAATTCTGAATGTATATTAAAAGCTATGAACATGTCCGGAAACTTTCACGCCGCAGTAGAAAATTATCTCACACCCGAACGCGAAAGTGAAGACGGGCTTTTCCATGATGAGCATCTGTACACGGGCAACAGGAGGAAAGCAAGGTCTGGCGCTCTCTTTTCCCACTCGCAATAGTTAACTTTTTTTTTTCCCCGGTTTCCAAGCACTGCCTAACTTAGGAGTGCAGTGGGCATTACAGCACACACCTGGAATCCAGGCCGTTTCCAGCCGGGCAGGGCCCTTGCTCGGGCTCCCTGGATCACACGAGTTCCAGGCCAGCAAGCCTGCAGACCCCAGAGCCCCCCGGCTCTCCCCCACAAAAAGTCTCATCTCCGTAGCGACTGAAACGAAGGCTGTGTTTTGACTTCTTAGCCACCAGATGGAGATCACACAAAACAAAAGCATTTCCTGTGTTTTGTAGGCTGGGCCGAATTTGAACGCGGTCTGTGTACGTATGCACGGAACGTCTAAGTGTGCCCGTGGCGTACGTAGTAGGGCTGGAAGCGTCACAAATCTCAGACCACCTACAAATTCAAGGCGTCTCGCCATAGCCTTTTCTTTTTGTAAAGACTCTCCTAGTAAGTGCAGGTCAATGACGTCTAAAACTGGAGCGAGCTGGCCGTGGGAAGACACGCCGGGAATCCCGGTGCTCGGGAGGCTCAGGGGGAGGGCTGGTGCGAAGCCAGCACTGGGCCGTGCGGGCGATGACACAGCAGGGTTCCGTTAATTAAAAATACGCAAAACCCAACCCGGCCAACCCAAAACCGTAAAACTAAAGTAGAGATGCGTGCACGCTTGGAATGAGTCTAACACAGTAGGAACGTTTCCATGTCAGATTATGAGACTTTTGTCAAGAGGCAGACAAGAAGAGGAAGAGGTGGGGGAGGAGCTAGTGGAGGGGGGGGAAGGAGGAAGGGAAAGGAAAGAGGGAAAGGAGGGGAGGGGAGGGGAAGGAGAGGAGGGGAGAGGACTGGAAATGGAGCCTCTCTTTCTACCAAAATGGAAAGACTGTCTTTCCCCCACCCCCACCCCCACCCCCGTGCTTCTTTGTAACTTTTTTTTGGTAACCTTTGCCTGGCTATCTTTGGAGGTGAGATACTCAAGCGTCACAGCCTGGTTGCAGTACTTGATAGGGTTTTTTTTTTTTCAGGTAGGGGTTTCTTCTTTGTTGTTGTTGTTTTGTTTTGTTTTTCGAGACAGGGTTTCTCTGTATTGTTTTGGACCCTGTCCTGGAACTCCCTCGGTAGACCAGGCTCGTCTCGAACTCACAGAGATCCACCTGCCTCTGCCTCCCGATTAAAGGCGTGCACCACCAACGCCCGGCAGGGGTTTCTTCTTACACGATGTG